TTATTTTGATATATGAAGTTGGGGTCTGATTCACTTGATTCAATTAGTTTTCCTTGGCTTGATGATGGTCTGAATACTTTCTTGGATGTTCAAACAAACTATGTGAATGATTATGTCCATGCCACATCCATGAAGAGTCCTGTCAACCTCCCATTTAAAAAATATGCGATAAGGAATGGTAGAGAGTGTAAGAAGAAAGAAAATAGTAATGAGGTTAATTCTACAATGCAAATTGTTGAGAATGGTTCGGTGGATGTCCTAATATGTCCTCCTGAAGTGTTTGTTTTTTGTTGTAATAACCAATCTGCTGAGGGGTTGAGTGGCTGTCCCACATCAGCCACAAGGGCACCATGAAGCATTCAAGTAGTCAGGAACAAGGGATGGGGTCTCCCTTGTCCCCTTTTGGAGCTGAACCAACATTCATCTTAGACCCTTTACTTGTTTTTCTTTGCTGTTTATGTTTGTTGCTTGTTTCTTTCAAATTTTTTATGTGTTATGTCAACGTGAGGTGTGGAGGTGTTGTTAAGTGGTTTGAGGGGTGTATAATCTTTGGTTGGCGTTTTGGTCTGGATTCTCCAATCTGCTGGTGGGCGGTGCATATTACAAGTTTTGCAGGATTGAGTCTTATGAAATGTTAACATGATTTCGGCCTTGAGGCAACTTTTCATGCCTTACTCGTTTGGTGATTTTTTTCTGACAATCTCATTGTTTAAAGGGCAGCCCTCTCTGATAGTAGACACATCAAAGCGTTGCGGTTCAATTTCTTACTCACTTTGCTGCTACGTATCCGCGTGATCACAAGTTTAGACGCGTGTTGATTTTTATATCTGATTTAATAGTTGACCAACTTGGTTTAGCATCTTGCTACCTTTTATTAGTTGAGTATTTCTTCAAGTTCTATTATTGCTTTGTCTTCACAACTTGGCTAATTCAATTGTTTGCGATGTGTTATATATCTTCAAGAATTTTGCTGTTTTGGACATGTTATGTGTCTTTAAGAATTGGACTCTCCGATTTTTTTGCTGATTATGAACGTTTGGTGGTGATTTTTTCTTTTCTTGTATTTTTCTCTTTTTGCTAATTATCGACGTTTGATGGGGATGCAAAACAAATTAGGAGATTCAATTACGTGTTTATGCGCATCGTTCCATTCAAAGGTAGGTTATCTACATTAAAATTAAGTAATTAATGAAAAATTATCTCATTGTTAAACTCTTCAAAAAATTAAATTTTAATTAATAAAGTAGATCTTGATGCTTGAAATAGTGAACT